CATCATTGGGCGCCAGGGGCCCTTTAACAATTATGCCTACACAAGTGCTCATATTTTAGGCCAACCAAATGAAAATAAATGCCAACTTGCACAAAGTTATATTTGTTAACTATATTATAGGCCCAGCCCATATATACTTAAGGCCCTAAGTGTATATATATGGGCATCCTCACTTGTGAATCATTCATTTTGCATTTTTGTTTACCAGTATGGAAATTTTTGTTACAGCTTCAGTTAATCAAAATGAATCAATAACCAAACTACATATAATATCTATTATAAAACTTTTATCAATTATTTTCATATTATTTGCTTGGTCAGAAAATGCTCAAATTGAAATGATTAAGTACTACATTTACATATTGCCCTTTTTTTAGTCCAGTTTCCAAATGTATTTTCCTAAGTCAAATTAAATTAAAAATATGTGTGGAAAATATGCAGGTATAAGCAAATGGACCATACACAATCACTTCCAATAATGAACAAGCCTAAGCACCATGCCGGAACATGTGAGATATAGAAAAAACGAAATACTAAAACATGTTGATGAACCTAAATAGCCAAGCTATCACCCTAATAACATATTCAAGGATCAACAAATGATGATTAAACCTACTGAGTTTTTAGAAAAGATAAAATTCTCTCGTATGTTTTGTGAAGGAAAAAAATTAATCTTACTTGAACTTTAGTGGAGTTTGAGCTGCTCTTCTTTGGGAAGCCACTTTCCATGCCATATTCTGCGAAGAAATTGGATGACTTTGGAGGTACTACATGGCCAACACGCGAACCTCCAGAGCTCGTCTCAGTAGGTTGGTCATTGTCTGTATACTCAAATCTTGACGTAAATGACGAACCAACTGCAGCAGTGCTACTCGATGAAGAGTTTGCAGAAGAAACTTGTACAGGAAGCTCCTCGGGCTTCTGGTCATAAAGGCTTTCACTAGGCTGCAATGAGGTTGAAAATTCATAGACAGCATCCACATCAATGACAGAGAAATTACATAATGCATAGATATAATTTAAGAATTCACTTGTAATTGAAAGATGTGATTCACCTTGGTAGTGAGCTTCCTAGCACCTAGGCCTCCAGTCTTCCCAGTTTTCCTTGCACCAAAAGTTTTCTTCACAGTAATTGCTGTAACTGTGTGAGGGGCTCTTGGAGATAAAGAAGCCTCAGGAGTCACAGTTTTGGGAGCAGCAGTTTCCTTTGGGACATCGTTTAGAGTACTTCCCTTTGGATCTTCATTGAAGTTGATATCCGAAAATCCATTAGGTTTTGATGTCTGCGAAGCAACGGGGGAGGAAGGCAAGCCAGCATCCTCTGCATTGCTTTTAGCAACTTCTTTCGAAAGTAACTGTCGGTACAACTCAGCAGCTCTTGAGGTATATTTGGCCTCAATCTTGCCACCGTCACTCCATCCGTGCTGTTTGAAGAAAACCTGAGCTCGGTTATTTCCGCCGAAGCACATCATTTTTAACTGCTCAGGGGTCCATGAATCCATATTTGTTGACCTACAGTTTAAAAACTTGCTCAGCAGAATGAAAACTAAAAGGCGAGATCAGGCTACTTAACAGAGTACCCTTGTCCAAAAATCGAATCAACCAATATTGGTTTGGATTTTCGGTAAAAACGCGTATCCAGACTCATGTCAGGCTAAAAGAACAATTCTTGCACCATGGACCAAGCTGCACATTGCACGTTAGAACTTACCGGTGGTTATATCAATATCAGCAGGCAACATCAAAAGATGCTTTAAATGGCAGAGCTCTCAACGAGTGAATTCACAAACATCACACACATTTGTTGCATGATTGCATTCTTGCAACACATAGTAAAGATTTTTTCAAAGGTTTCTTGATGCAAAGATCCTTGACAGGTTTTAGTCCCAAAAAATGATGCCAATATTTTGTCCTAAAGTTTTCACTACACCCAGCTAAAATAGACATTATTCTATGATCCTGAGGTGAAATAGATAGCCATTTGGATGACAATCAATTGCTCCCAGTGGCTAGGGGCCTAATTATTCAAATATTTCAGCTCCAATCCTAATTTCAAATTCTCGCCCAAACGAATAATTTTATGCGGATTTAGACACAATCTCTACTTTGTTATATTCAGATACTACAGCCTGATTTGAAAGCTCACAACCCCCAAGATCATAACATAACTACAACAAGAATCACAAACCCATTGCCAATCAGAGATTCAGCAGGTGATCCCAAAAAAAAGGCATTACCTAACAAAGCTGATGTGCACCCCGAGACTCCGGTGAGCCCCCGAACAATCGATACACAGGAAGATCCCATATGTAACAGACGCCCAAGTTGGATTTTTGGCGTTGCAATCGAAGCACATCTGGATTCAAAACAACAATTTCAGAAACCACAAATCAACCCCGAAACTTCTGCAGATCTGAATCGGATCTCAACAATGCCCGTAAAAACCCAAATCTCCAAAAACGCAGAGATCAATTATTCGACGCACAAACAAACAAACAAAACAAAACAAAACAACATCAAAACAGAAAACGAAAATCACCTTGTTCTCAGACCTCGCCCTGAGCTTGCGGAAAACAGCGTTTCTGTCGGTGTAATTGTCGGAAGCCATGGCCGTATATCACCAGAGAATTCGATGAACGCTGTTTATACACAGATATTCAGAACTCTCCCTCTTGTGAACAATATGCAATTGAGAAGAAAAAAAAACAGTGACGAGCGAGATGTGAGAGGGAGCCGTGAATTAAAATTTTGAGTGGCGAAAATACCCTTTCACAGTAGGGGTATTACTGTCATTTCAGGTGACGCCAGATCTGTTGCCAACTTGCCTTTGCCATCTTAGCAGTTAGCACCGCCAATGCTTGCATTGAAAGCGTGTGTAAAGAGCCATATTGAAGTTGGGTAATTTTGGCACTTGAGATTGGTGGTGAGATGTCCCAACTGTTTTCAGGCCATGTTTGGTGGTAGGGGGGGAGTGGGTGGAAGTAATGAAGCGAGTCGAGATTAGTTCGGTTCGATCTACGGACGAGCGAATCTACATATTTTGATATAGCTAGTTAAGTGGATTCGTCATGGCAATAGTCCCGATTTCGATTCACAAACCAACAGTTCAATATCGACTATTTTAAAAAAAAATAAAATGAACTGAATGAAGTACTAGTTAAAAATAACTTCAATCTATCGAATTTGTATTTATATGACAATTTGGAAGGTTGAATAATCCAATCACGTGTTCGAACCAGAACGGTGAATCGCTAGTTTGAATTTTTAAATGTTTGATTGGGGTGTAAAATAGAATGCACTTTTCCAAATTACAACGGGATAAACCGTCGAATAAGAAGCTGGTGAATAAAAATAGGTCGTGAGCTTAATCAATTTTGGTTTGGTAATCACAGATTCACGGGCATGGACTGATGGTTTACCTAGTTGGTTTTGCTTAGCTCAACGTATGAGGCTTGGGGTTATCAATCATCATGACTACACTAACATCTGACTCAATCACTTTTTATCTTCGCATTATGCCTTTAAATATTTTTCGTGATATTTAAACACGAGATTTTCACTTGAGAGTTGTAATATTTAAATCTCTTCCGTCAGTGATAGTTTCAAGGGAAACATTCCATTATGCGAGGCTTCAACAACAACAAAATTTTTATCATGTTGTCACTAGATAATTTTTTCTTTGATCTAGCAACATTAATTTGCAATTGATTTATTCACCTCTTTATTAAAGAATATTGGATCTAGCCATTTTATCACTGGGATCACCATTTATCAGGTGCAATGTCTTGACATATCCTTTAAATATGTGATATTTTTCATATACTTTTTAAAACGACGTTCAAACATTCAATGTCTTCATCTATTCTTTATGAGTTTTGACCATCTCGACAAAAGTCCCTGGTCTATAGGAAGCCCAATCGTGAAAAGACTTATGTTGTCCAACATCTATAAAAGGACGACCTAGGTCAATGTAAGCCGCACATTATATTCTACACGTACTCATACTATAACCGTCGCCCCGAAGCTCTATTTTAACTTAAGAATATGAAAGAAGATTTGTGGTTGTACCTCACTTCCCTCTTATAAGGGGAAAGAGAAGTATGCCATGGCCTGCAGTCAGTATGCTCGACTGCTCGCGGTTTAATTTTATCCTCATTTTAATCATACCTTAGTCATCATTAGACTCATTATTATCTTCTTACGATTCCTTACTATATGTTCACTATGTGATTTAATTAGATCTTTGTCTAACTGTAGTTACCACATTCGTTTCCACAAGTCACTCTGTTAACATTACAACTCATCAAGTCACCTCGACTCTTACAAGTTATCCCACTCGAGACTTAGGAGGTTTCTTAGTCATGATATGAAATAAACTCTAGGTCACAACGACCTTCGGCGAGATGACTTCTAGTAGTCTCCTGCTCCATAGGTCTCTCTTCGACCTATTCTCGGTATTTATGTTTCTTTGATCTATTCTTACTTTGTGGTTATTTTTTGGTTCCTCATATACGATTAAATCAACTATCATATATAGTAATCTAGCTTACATAAATATAAATAATAATATGAACTAAATAATGAAAATCTCTTTAATTCTCTAACAAATAAATTATCAAAAAACAAAAGTAAAAAATTAAAATTTTTCGGATGATGTAAACTATATTTTCTTATATTTTATTATATATTAATAGATTTCTAAGCAAAATGTCAAGTTGATTTCATTATATATGTTATATGTTATTAATTGATTTTTAAGCAATGTCAAACTTTATTTAGGTCTATTTAAAAAATATAATTAGTATTTATTAAAATGGATAATCATAACCGTTTCGACCGGCGTGGCTTATTCGATTTAACGTCGGTACGGTGGCCGGAAGTTAAAACACGGCCGGAGACAACACCAAAGTCCATTAGCTACCTCTAAATCGATGTTCGCAGGGCATCAAATAATCCATTAGAGTTTGGGTGTTAAAGTGGTTGTCTGACTGCGAGTTCGAATGCCGAAAAGGAGAAGACCTTCATCGTCCCCACCATTCTTAAATTCTCTGCCGTCTTCCAAGGCGGACTTCGGCCGTTTGATCGCCGTTGTTTCAATCGCCGCCGTGGTTGCCGCTGCCTGTCACTTCATAGCCTCCTCCCTCATGCGACCGCCAAAACCCTTCTGCGACTCATCGACCTCTGATTCCGATTATTGGCTTCCCGGTAATGTTTAAAAATGTCTTATTTACATAATTTGAAATTCCCCCATAATTCATGGAACGAGGTCGAAGTTACACTGTGATGAGTTTACTTTGTGCCTAAGAGAATGTGGGGTTGTCCATCTGACATTTTATTTCTACTTGAAAGGGATTCGAGGGATACAATTTGGAAAGACATTCATGGTGTATAGACCATTATCTTGACTCGTTCATGTCGCTTGAAATCAGCATTTTTGTTCCCTTAACTATCTGCAGCTGCTTCAGATTATTGTGAACCCTGTCCCTCCAATGGCATGTGTGATGGTGGCAAGTTAAAATGTGTTGATGGCTATAGAAAGCATGGGAAATTTTGCGTCGAGGATGGTGATATTAATAAAGCTGCTGAAAAGCTTGTGCGTGATGCCTTAATCCTACAACTTTTATTATGTTTTATGTAGAATGATTGCCCCCTTTTTGTTTCTTGATTGGATTTTGAAGTTGGTATTTAACTGATGTTGCTGCAGGCCAAGTGGGCACAAAATCATCTATGTGAAGCCTATGCTCGACTGTTGTGCACCGGAGCTGGAAAATGTTGGGTTTGTAACAGCACTTACATTCTTTCACCTTTCATCGATTCCAGTAGCCTTTTTCCATGTGGGAAGAAATTCATATATAACCAAAATGTAGCAGAGTCTTTTGCTTCTTATATTTTAGGTCTCGGAGGGAGAGCTGTTGAACAACTTGAATGAGTACAAGGCGAGGGAGGACCATGGCATGGATGAGGCGGTTTACATGCCTGCAAAACAAAAGGCCTTGAAGAACATCCGTAGTATTTTAGAGACAAAAACAGACAATCATGGGTGAGCTGCATAGTATTTAAAGATTGATATTTACCGATTGTTTTCCTCAATATGTTATCCTCACCCTGTTCAATCTTATATGTGGCATTTAGCGTTCAAGAATTCAAGTGCCCGGAGTTTCTTGCGAACAATTATAAACCTCTCTCCTGTGTTGTCCGGCAGTGGATTGTCGACCATGCTTTACTTTCAATTTCATCTTTGACATTGGTATTTCTCGTTACAATATAGCTGCATAGTTTATGTTGTGAAAGCTATATGTTAAAGCTTATATCGTCTATATGAAAATTTTCAGTTCTTGGGATGCATATTGATAATGTCCAGAGTCTATCATAGACACCGGTTACGTGTTAGAGCCGAACAGCTGTATCATGAGGTATGGTTCTCTTGGCTGTTTACTTGTTAACTTATGGATCTAATGTTCACAACTTTTTAAACTGGTTTATCCTATACAAGGCTGATGCAAAAATTTTCTATCATTATCCCTTCCACTTATGGAAACAATTTGTTCTCTTGTAGGACCACCGGAATTCCTCTTTAACCTCTTAATATTAACATTTGCAATATTTTAAAACAAAGTGGCTAGGGCCATGTTATATGACTTCAAATAGAGTACATTTCAGATTAGGGTAACCAGGTAACACACATTATCTCTAGAAATAAATTTGGGAATTGAAAGATTTCTAATAACCTATGTCCAAGCTCCGTCACAACCTAATGCATTAAGAACCATCTCGAATTCAGAACTCAGCAAACAAATTTGGTTGTCTTATATGAATCAAACCATGATTATTAGATGTATTTTCCTTTCCCAAGGCCAAACTATGCTTTCTAGGTTAGCCTGGATTCTGCAAATGGTTGTTACGTGTTCTTAGTACAATAGTACTACTGTTAGACGGAAATAGTTATGATTTATTGGATGACGATATTTTTTCATAAACTTCCTGAACATATCATAAGTGATATTGGCTTATGACATTCTAATCAATTTCCCCCGGGGATAAAAATCAGTTGTAACTTTCTTTGCCTTTCACCTAATGACGTTAACGCGTCCTTTATGTAACCTTCTGCCAAACACCTATAATTAGTTTATATGTTTCTCATAATGACGAAATTTCCTTACCTGCTTCTACATGTTGCCTTGGCCACCCTGTATAAGCAAACTACAGGTAATGCTTCAAACGCGTTGCGCCGAATTACCATATCCATCTGATGGATAAATTAATTACGGCATATTTAAGTTGATATTTTTTCTTTCTTTTTTTTTTTATCTAATCTTTATTTTAGATAAAAAAATGTATATATGTATATATATCAAACGACGCAATGCACCTTGGGTCGCTATGGAAACAACCTCCTTGTATAGTTACAAGGGTAAGGTCAGCGTACAACTGACCCCCCAGACCCCAACCAGTTGGGAATATACTGGGTATGTTGTTGTTGTTGTTGTTGTTGTTGTTGTTGTTGTTGTTATTGTCGTTGTTGTTGTTATCTAATCTTTATTTTAATATGGTCTAAAATCTGGTCTTACAACTAATGCACCCCCAACCTTATCTGCCAGCAGAGGCTCCAATATCACTTAAGCTAAGACGTTCCGTATTCAAATAGTAAAAGTTATGCTTTTGCATATACCAAAAACAATTGCCAAAGTGTGAAAAGTGAATGAGGGTGCTAGATACCTCTGGTATGTTAAACAGTATAAATAAGCCTCCTTCATTCAGTTCAAGGATTATCATAGCTCACTGTGATGACGTGAATATGTCAGCTGATTATATTACTATTTCTTACACCATTTTGCTGTGGAAGGATTCTGGAAATTTCATCCATGTGATTCAGTATTCATGATAGGTCTTCCTGATGTAACCTGGTTTGGGGTGCTTGTGATCAGCAGATGCTTGTCAAATCTTGCTTCTTAATCTACATTACAGGATTACAAAACTGATGTTTGAATTGGCACAGTGGATGATAGGTCTGATATTTGTTTTAGAATAGGATGGTTTAGTATTTCAATGCATTAAGTGCTATTCATTCAATCGGAAGAAAGTGGCTTGACCTTGCAATTATATGTTACAAGCATGAATAAAAACTTGGATTTGTTTCGGTGACTGATGTAATCTGCATCTAACAATTGTTTTGGTGCTGCACATAAGCAGTTTAGTTAAAGGCATGTTGACTGAGAAAATGTTATTAATTTTGTAGTAGAATTAACAGTAAGTGTATTCATTTTTTCTTACACTATAAAAAGCTGTAATCAGTGGGTTTTGAGTGATCATAGTGGATTTGAATAACCATGATGTGTTTCTCATTATAAATCAGACGATACTGTATGTTTTTAGGTTTTTCTGAGGTGTAATTGAATAGTTTAAGCGGAGCATCAATTTTGTATGTTTTTTATTTTTCTGAATTGATCCTTCATGTCTCTAGTTTTTAACTTACTGCATCTTACTGATGTACTCTGACTGATTTTTGAACAAGCATGAAAAACATGCTATTTATTGAGCTGGTAATTGTTTAGGTTTGCGACATTCTTGAAGAGAAGCCATTGGTATCAAGAAGTGTAAGCAGTGAAAGTGAACCCTGGGTAGTTGCCTCTTGGTTGCGGGATCATCTTCTATCGCCCATGGAAAGAAAGGATCCATTTCTGTGGAGAAAGGTATTGTCACTAAAACCTGTTGCATTCTAAGAAGATGAAACGTTCATGGTGTTCAACCGAACATTTGAGTTATTTACTTTTTCATTAATAAAACAAAATATTATTAGAAAATAGAAAAAAAAATGAAACGGTATATTGGGTGGAATTCTACTGTTATCTCTGACATTGTCTCCTAGCTAGTTTATCAGTTTCTGAAAACAATCTTTATAAGCTTGCTAGCCTTTGTCAGCATGATACTTAGATTAATTTTAAACTTTCTTCATGCTATAAAATTATTATAAGGAAGCTGCGCATTTGTAAAATGTGTACCTGACCATGAGACTTCGGTTACTTCATGGTCATCTGTGGCATTTTTCTGAAGTGAAGACTATTTTGTAAACAAAGTGTGACTATCTCTTTAATACCTGTTCTATTTTTTCCTTCCTTTTTTTAGAAACAACGGAATGTGCATATGAATACATATTTTACTATCATTATTTTTAATGCATCTTTCCCTCAACAAGTATACCGAAGTGAAATCGATTGTGCTTCACTAAAAATCAACCTACAAATCACCTGTGTAGAAATACACAACAAAACTCATCTATAATTCCATATTACCTTGTTAGTCTTTCCATATTCATTTTCCTTTTCATTGTTTTATCCGACCTCTTTTACAGTTATCTTTGCTTTCAGCTGTGCACAAGTTTGTTTTTGACAATTTTACTTTCATCTTTATTGCTGCTTAATTGTTCATTTATAGGTTGAGGAGTTGGTACGAGAGGATTCTCGTGTAGATCAGTACCCAAAGTTAGTAAAGGGTGAATCTAAGGTTGTATGGGAGTGGCAAGGTACAAAATTAACCTTCTCAATCAACCAAATAACTCATACTGAAACACGGTCTTGAGCACTTTTAATTTTAAGCACGTCTTGTAAAGAACTCTCTTGTCTTTACAAAAGTTTGATTAGTTATGAGCAATATACTTTACATAATTACATTCATGCATGTGAAGGTTGTATGAGGTGACTAGGTAAACTGAAATGACATGTACATGAATAATGCATATTTTGTCGCTTTTTTTCAATGCACGATGTCACGAAACCAAAAA